ACATCTTCCAGCTTAACTTATGACAGTTTATACATACATTTGGTTGAAGCTCCATGTGCCTATATTCTGTTACACAAACACATCTTCCAGCTTAACTTATGACAGTTTATACATACATTTGGTTGAAGCTCCATGTGCCTATATTCTGTTACACAAACACATCTTCCAGCTTAACTTATGACAGTTTATACATACATTTGGTTGAAGCTCCATGTGCCTATATTCTGTTACACAAACACATCTTCCAGCTTAACTTATGACAGTTTATACATACATTTGGTTGAAGCTCCATGTGCCTATATTCTGTTACACAAACACATCTTCCAGCTTAACTTATGACAGTTTATACATACATTTGGTTGAAGCTCCATGTGCCTATATTCTGTTACACAAACACATCTTCCAGCTTAACTTATGACAGTTTATACATACATTTGGTTGAAGCTCCATGTGCCTATATTCTGTTACACAAACACATCTTCCAAACTTAACTTATGACAGTTTATACATACATTTGGTTGAAGCTCCATGTGCCTATATTCTGTTACACAAACACATCTTCCAGCTTAACTTATGACAGTTTATACATACATTTGGTTGAAGCTCCATGTGCCTATATTCTGTTACACAAACACATCTTCCAGCTTAACTTATGACAGTTTATACATACATTTGGTTGAAGCTCCATGTGCCTATATTCTGTTACACAAACACATCTTCCAGCTTAACTTATGACAGTTTATACATACATTCTTAATTAACGCCAACAAATGAAAACATCCTCCGATCCATGGATTCCTTCAAACTCATACATTTGAGCACATGACGCATAGCTATAAGAAGACAAGCCTATATCAACGTCTGTTTCTCTGAGAATAAGATTTAAATATTCTGATTAATTGTTTCATTCTAACCATTTACGTTTAGAAATCCCTTTCATAGACAAGCTCACTGTGAATTGTCAATGCAACCGTCCTTACCTTGCGAATGTTATTGTTTGTTCATCTGTCACTGAACCATTAGTGAGTGAGTTTTTAGTTTAGGCCGCTTTTAGCAATATTCCAGCAATATCACGGCGGGGGACACCAGAAGTGGGCTTCACACATTGTACACATGTGTGGAATCGAACCCAGGTTTTCGGTGTGACGAACGAACGCTTTAACCACTAGGCCTTCCGCCCCACTGAACCATTAGAAATTGATATGTATTCTAGGTTTCATTTTATCCAAAACTACATATTCTATTCTGGGCTGCTCTGCCTTTGGTCAACGTGTTGACATCTATGTGACTGTGTTGATCACGCCAGAATACAGAAGTCAGAGATAACATCTACATCAGGGTTGAGCAGAGGTCAAACCCTAGAAGCTACAACAGTCTGTACGTTTGGAGAACATGGTGGGGACAAATCAGAAGCAGTACAGTTTCTCTGCTGAACTAACAAATTATTTACAAACTATTAAATTTAGTTCATCCTTTGCCATCGTGCAGGGAAACTACATATCCTAATATGTCGAATATCTGGTTTAGTAGGCAAATAAGTTGGAATTTGGTGGTAGGAGCATAGGACTGTCGTTGATGTACGATAAACAACTTATTTATGCATATCCCTACATGTTAAAATACGTGCCTGTATTTGAATATATGCACCTATTCTTAAATATGTACGGAACTACAATACACCACATTCATCTATTTTAAACATTTAACACAGGTACACCTACACTTGCAGATTCAGCATATGTCCATTTAGTTTCACCTATGTTCCAATGATACAACCGATATGTATCAATAAACCTAAATCTGTGTTCCTATATTCAAACCTGTATGCCCTAGATCTAACGCCATGATCCAATATTCAAACCTGTATGCCCCTAGATCTAACGCCATGTTCCTATATTCAAACCTGTATGCCCCTAGATCTAAAGCCATGTTCCTATATTCAACCCTGTTTGCCCTATATCTAAAGCCATGTTCCTATATTCAAACCTGTATGCCCCTAGATCTAAAGCCATGTTCCTATATTCAAACCTGTACGCCCCTAGATCTAACGCCATGTTCCTATATTCAAAACCTGTATGTATGTTCAAACCTGTATGCCCCTAGATCTAAAGCCATGTTCCTATATTCAAACCTGTATGCCCTAGATCTAAAGCCATGTTCCTATATTCAAACCTGTACGCCCCTAGATCTAAAGCCATGTTCCTATATTCAAACCTGTATGCCCCTAGGTCTAAAGCCATGTTCCTATATTCAAACCTGTACGCCCCTAGATCTAAAGCCATGTTCCTATATTCAAACTTGTATGCCCCTAGATCTAAAGCCATGTTCCTATATTCAAACCTGTATGCCCCTAGATCTAAAGCCATGTTCCTATATTCAAACCTGTATGCCCCTAGATCTAACACCATGTTCCAATATTCAAACCTGTATGCCCCTACATATAAAGCCATGTTCCTATATTCAAATCTGTATGCCCCTAGATCTAAAGTTATGTTCCTATATGTGCCCAAATGCCCAAGTTAAGTTCATATATTCAGTTGTATAATTCCAATCATATAACTCTTATATATGATCCTATACAATCTATATTCTTCTAGTCGAACTGAAATGCCTACATACCTAAGTTCTGCTATGTTAAAATATAAGCCCAGAGACCAAACTCCCCGTTCACATTTTCAAACGTATAGACACTCTTCCTAAATCTGTGTTACTCCATTCAACCTATGTGCCCCTATACCAAACCCTATTTTCATACATTCAAACCCATGTGCCCCTATACCAAAACCCATGGTCATACATTCAACCCTATGTGCTCCTACGCATGCCAAACCCTATCTTCATACATTCAAACCCATGTGCCCCTATACCAAAACCTGTGTTCACCTGAATGCATCTTTACATTGATTTGTGCTCCTATATAAAACCATGCTACTCTACCTAAACCTATGCTATATTTAAACCCCTATTTCTCTTCATATACATATGTTCTTATACTCTACATCTGCTATCCATACAAATAGCCGCTAACGGCGTAGGACGGGTTCTTGTGAATTAGCCTGGTGTTGCATGCCATTGTAGTGTTTACTGATGCTCCCTACTCGGGCAGAGAACAGCTTTTTGGGAACATCTATCATTTGAACACGTGTTCAGTTAGGGAGAATATGAAGTACTAGAATATCAATCGTATATAAAATGATAACGATCTTAATTTCATTTGGTAAATAGTTCTGGTGTGAAGCCATACTAACACGGAGTGGCACCCAATTTCCTCTTCAACAGGTCGCCATTATACTGGCATTGTATACACAGATGGCAGAACACATAACACGTATGACTAAGACCATGGCAAGGAATATCCATGAATTTTATTATATGGAGTTAAAATAGACATAAGTGAATCAGATGCCAGTTTCATCGACTTAGTGGTTCAATAAAAACAGAAAGAAGGCGCAGGCGCTTCGATCTGACTGCTTGCAATGTTGTGTTCTCGCAGACGGCCGTGTGTTGACAAGAGCCAGCTGTGCACATCCTCCGCCGATATCGGTTCCAAGACGCTCTGTCGGTCGGGCTCTCGTATAGATTAATGCGTTCGTGTGTATGGAACATGAATGTGACGATGTTGTTGGAAAACATTAAGGAGAATAAGTCGTGGAATATATCAATAATAACGGTTTATATTATAAACCTTAACACTGCGACGTACCAGCAGGTTGGCAAACCCTGTACACAGCTGTTGCACACATCGATAAACCGTTCTAGGTAGATCCTGAATTATCTGCTGCAGGCGACACCTTCAGACAGGATCCAGAGCCACAACAGCTATAAAGTTACGTGACTCCGACTGCCAATATATTGGAAGCGTGGCTGCTTATAAACGACATTGTTTCAGAACCGAAGTATAGTTTTTCACAGAAGGCCGATAGCCAAAACTAAGAAAACGTAAATTTACTACTTCGTATGTAAATGTTTGTTTTTTAAATAAACATTGGCTGACCATTCTATCCCGGATCATGCATTGCTGTTGTGCAACTTGACGTAAACACCTTCGTGCGTCACATATTTATTGACACTCCTTGACTGCTCGTCATGCGTAACCAAGATCATCCTGGTCTGTGAGATGGGGTGTGTGAGGGTGGGGAGGCGCAATAGATCCTGTTAGAGACATGTCTACATATCTACATTATTGTATTTTATCATGTACCATGTCTTGTCTGTATCATTGGTCCATGTATACCAGTTTCAAACGTTTGTGGGCGGTGGGGTAGACTAGAGGTTAAAGCAATGGCTCGTCACGCCGAAGACCCGGGTTCGAATCCCCACATGGGTACAATGTGTGAAGCCCATTTCTGGTGTCCCCCGCCGTGATGTTGCTGGAATATTGCTAAAAGCGGCGTAAAACCAAACTCAGTCAGCCAGTCAAACGTTTGCTGTTTGCTTTCAAACATATTTTATTGACAAATTAACTACTCTCTATAAGCATGGTGATCTTTCATTTAGTTTAGTGTATATCATGCCATAAATTCTCTCTTCTGACTAGTATACATATTGCAGTTTGATAAATAAATTTAATGATGTACATCATAGCTCAGTGACGTATCTTTGGTAAACATTCATTTAACAATATAACAAAAATATATCGAAAAAAGAATGCTGCCCCGGGTGAGGATCGAACTCACGACCTTCAGATGGCTCTTGCCAATTGGATTATGAGACTGACGCGCTACCTACTGCGCTACCGAGGCCGCTGGAAGTACTGGAACACTTTTAGTATATATAGTATGTACTAGCCTCTTTCATTTTTCACTTATGAAACATATTTCAAAATTATATTGAAAGACCAATTATCTTCAATGAATGTACACAATCTTTGCTGGAATATAACCTGTCACAAGATGCATGGTTTCCGTTGATTTCTTGACCATGTTTCTTCTCCCAAGGCTTATCTTACATATACAATTTAAGCGGACGCGCATTGTTTGTGTGAAACATGTCAGATAGGAACCAGGGGAGGTAAGCGAGAAAATCACGCACATGCTCCAACATGGCGACGGAGGAAGAAAACGTTGAAATCGAAGAGAATGAAGATAAGAAGGAAGGCAAATCAAAGAAGGTTGCCAAACATGACTCAGGGGCCGCCGATTTAGAGAAAGTAACTGACTATGTCGAAGAAACAGAAATATCCGCTCAGAGCATCAGTGATGCCATGCGGGTTGTGAATGTCAGCAAAGCTAAAGAAGCTTCTGAGAGACAGGAACGAGAAAGAGAACTTTCGAAAGTGAAGATAAACAAAGATGACGTAGATCTAATTGTGAATGAAATTGAAATTGGACGAATACAGGCGGAGAGAGTTCTGAGAGAACATAAAGGGAACATTGTGGAAGCACTTGTTGCGCTTACGAACTGACAAAGGATACAATATTCCACATTGATTACTGTTCCATTTTGACCACTTGAAACTCGCACCGGAACATGCAAGTTTGCCTGTAATAAGACACTTTTTTAATATGATCTAAACGATTGTCGACCTTCAAGAGCAAGTTCATCAAGCCTTTGTTGTGAAAGCTAATGTCTTAGTTCATTTTGTTCGGGACAGAATCCTGAACAGTATATCGGACAAAAAGAAATCCAATACAGGCTATGTTTAATGAACATCATGCATTCTCACCTTTCAGTCGAGGAGAATTTCTTCCTGAGTAGAACTTAATGTACTGAAGCATGTAATTGTACTGGTATATTTGAAACTGTCCAATACATGCGACTTCAGAGATGGGAGACTCACTTTCATTGTGATGTCAAATCTTTTTCACCTGTGTAATAAACATACATAACTTATAACTGTGTATTTTTTTTTCAAGATGTTTATTTGATCCATGTGAAGTTGTAAACCTGCAGAATACTTAGTTTCTAAAGGCTTGAAATAATTTTACATATAACTTTGTTCCCAGAAACAACCACAGGCAGCCAAGTTTGGTAACTGCAACTTGGTATGCAGACATGTATCCCTGACGTGCATCCACCATTTATTCAGATCCTTCTTGAATGTCTCTCCCAACAAGGTGCTTTGAATGCTGGTTTTCCTGAGCATGTAAATAGTCTTGTCAGCACTATCCAAGTTTACCTGTTTCACAAAGGTGATAAACATCTGTGACCTTCCCTTCAGGTTTTCCTCCCACATCAAGCATACATGCTCTGATACAACTGGAAAACTGGGGGGTGTTAAAACCAATTCAAATAAAAGTCTGTGGATTCTTGTCATAACCGGTGATTGGCTAAACTCAGTCAGTCAGTCTTGTCATAACCGATGTTAAGTTGGACTAAAGGGTCCATGGAGAAAAATATTCCATATACTTCAAAGACCATGTGACCCATGAAGATCCGCGGTAGAAGAGGTCTTCAGCAACCCATGCTTACCACAAAAGGCGACTATGCTTGTCGTAAGAGACGACTAATGGGATCGGGTGGTCAGGCTCACTGACTTGGTTGACACGTCATCGGTTCCCAATAGCTCAGATCAATGCTCATGTTGTTGATCACTGGATTGTCTGGTCCAGACTCTATTATTTACACACTGCCGCCATATAGCTGGAATATTGCTGAGTGCTTTAAAACTAAACTCACTCACTCAAAGACCATGTGTTTTGAACTTTGTAATGTGATACATTATATATGATGACGTATAACTCATTCATAAGTCATCAGTAATAGACTAGTGTTGTAGAATGTCACTGTATGTAACACATTCTGAATGTAAGTACATGTGCATATTCATGCATAGATTAGATTCTTTGTGGTAAAAGAATTCAGTATAAACTGGCTATATGCCACAAAACGTTCCAAAATTCGTACTCCTCAAAGTTTTGTAATAGGTGATGTCATATTTTGTGTATCACTTGAAAAGGACAATACTATGTGAAGACGTGTGAAATGAACCAAGGTCCATTGTGATGTACCACACAACGCCAGTAAGCAATACTTGACCACTAATCAGTCAGATAACTTGTCAAATTGATTGTATCAAAAACTGAAATGTAAAAAGAATCATGAAAAATGACCACTAATCAGTCGGATAACTTGTCAAATTGATTGTATCAAAAACTGAAATGTTAAAAGAGTCATGAAAAGAATCATTGTGCCCCCTTCCAAATCTCCCTGCCTGGTACCCTCATCTTTTGCTACCAGTTAGTATCTGGGATTGTTACAGTCTTCATTAACAGCATTGCCCAATTCTAAGTAGAGTTGCAGGAAAGACGAACAAATGTCTGGTGTCGATTCCATTCCTAGGTCATTACACTTCAGCTAATGTAATATGTTGGCCCAGTTTCAAGCATGCGTCTGCCTCTCCGTGAAGTTGTTGCAATCCTTAGTAGCAAATGTTGTGCTCTTTGACAGTGATATGAAGCAATTCTGTCTGTATACATCAAAACACAGATTTTCAAGCACATCCTGGTGCACATCAGGCTATTGTCTGCATGCCCCCTCCATTCATTGTCAAATTGAAGCCCTGTAGAGGTTATCAATAGGGTGTGTACAGGGGTATTTCAGTCTTTATATGTTAGATTAGTTTTGAATATGTTTGGATGTCACCAAAATTTGATCGTTAGCAAAGTTGGAGTGGTATATTTACATGTAAGTCGAGTTAATAATTAGTTAGGCTAACCATGTATGATTTTGTAAATGGATAGTACAACTGCTTGCACAAACCAGTGCAGTTTGTAGGTGGCTCATTAGTTAAAGGTACCACGGTTACATTCCTTGGCCATGCCAGGATAAGCTGAACATTGCTTTGAATACCCTAATTAGTCAAAATATGAGACATTAGTAGCTATGTATAATGTTCAGCTGAAACACCATTATATAACTGAAATCCTTTTAACAAATTGGATAATGTGATATGGTTTCATGTGACATGGCTGACAAAATGTGGTTTCTGTCTGTCGCAGTGGTCATTTTGCTTCACTGGTTCATTTAAATGTCATAGTTTTATGCAGTGAGATTTTGGCATTTATTTGCATAAAATAATGCAGAATCTTGAAACCATAACTTTTGGAAAAGGATTCAGAATTAGAGCCTGTATGTCATTTTGCCAGGTGTAAATAAGTGATGTATTATTGAAACTTTACACCTTCAGTTAAGATACACGCTTGTGTTATTCACAAAGTATTCTGTTCTGCAAACTGAACAGTTAGTTTTGTTACTAGTTTTCCTTCCTGTCCCACAGGGGGCAGTGGGGTAGCCTTGTGATTAAAGCGTTTGCTTGTCACGCCGAAGACCCGGGTTCGATTCCCCACATGGGTGAAGCCCATTTCTGGTTTCCATCGCTGTCTTATAGTTGGACTAGTGCTAAAAGCGGCGTAAAACCATACTCACTCACTCCTGTCCCACAGTCCACACAGTGAGGCAAGTTACTTGTCAGCTGTTCCGTTCTGATAGTGTGACAAGCTTGTGTTACTGGTGAACTGTTTCGTCCCACAGTTCCGATAGTGTGACAAGCTTGTGTTACTGGTGAACTGTTTCGTCCCACAGTTCCGATAGTGTGACCAGCTTGTGTTTCTGGGACATGTTCTTTCCCACAGTTCCGATAGTGTGACAAGCTTGTGTTACTGGTGAACTGTTCTATCCCACAGTTCCGATAGGACCTGTGAAGATCTGGGTTAAAGTTGGTCTTCAGTAACCCATGGTTGTTGTAAGAGGTGACTTAACAGGATCAGGTGGTCAGAATCGGAGACTTGGTTGACACGTCATTGTATCCCATTTGCGTAGATGGATGCTCATGCTGTTGATCACTGGATTGTCAGGTCCAGACTCCATTATTTACAGACCACTGCCATATAGCTGGAATATTGATGAGTGAGGCCTAAAACTAAACTCACTCAGGTCAGGGTAACAATCTTGTGTTACTGGTGAATTATTCTGTAGCACAATCAAAATAGTGAGATAAACTGTGTTACTGGTGAACTATTCTGTCCTTCAACTGCATGCAACATATGCACGCAAATTGTCAGTGGTACAAGGATTTTCTGTGTTTAAGCCCATGGGCATAAAAATGCCTTTCAAAGAGTAGCTTATATCAACAGTCTAAGTAAACTTAGACTCAGTATTATTTGTTACACTGCTATACTGAGTCAAACAAAACCTAGTGGAAGGTCGCGTCAGATGACCTTTTGGACTGGCCAATCAGAACACAGCTTACCAAATCGCGAAAGTTTGAACCTTTACGTAAAAAACTCAAACGATTCCGAATGCTCTTTTGCCCACGATTGCTTCCGAGTGATACACGCAATGAGTAAACAGTCGCTGAAAATAGCGTTTTTGTCAATATTCAAGGATGTCATCTTGCGAAAATATAATCAAATAGTAACCATGTCATTAGAAACCCATAAGCGTATATACAGCAGGTCAAATATGTGTTTTATGCAGATTTTTGTTTGTCGTCATCTGATTGGTTAAATCCGTTCGGCAATCTCGCGTTTGATTGGACGGTCATAGGTCGCTCAAAGGTCACCTGGCGCGACCTACTAGGTTTTGTTAGACTCAGTATAGAAGTGTAACGAATAATACTGAGCCAAAGTTTACTTAGACTGCTTATATCAACTTCTGCATCTGAAGGTTAAAGGGAGGTAACTCAAAGTGTTTGTGTGTTATTCCAGCCATGTGATAGTCATCATGGAGTACAATTTATTCATGTTTCATTATCAATTATAGATCCACAAGAAATATATATTAGGATATTAGGAAAATACAAATGTAAAATATTAGTTCAGCATTTTCAGTAATAGCTTCAGATAACTGACAGCCTAAGCTGATAAGAAGCCATCTCCCAGACATGCTGTTCAAAAAGATAGGTCATGTCTTCACAGATTAGAAGATGCTTCTAGACAAAAGCCAGCCTAAGGTCACAGGAACCTATCTTTTTTACACACTATTTAACAACACAAAAGTTTTGTTTGTATAGTTTATTAAATTTGCCTTGATTTGCGCCTAGCCGGGTCACTGAGGTACGTTTACGTATTCTGCCATCACTGGTGAGTGAGGTAGTGAATCTGTGAATCTAGTGACTGGTGCACGGTCTCGGTTTGATTTACCGGACATAGGCAAGGAGTATCAGTTGGGGGAGGATTCTCTATTCGAGCCGCCAGTGGTGGATGAGTGTGTGTTTGCCTCAGTTACCCTCGGGGGGTCGTCCTCGTCCTCCCTGGCTTCAGCCAGGCGGCTACCACCCTTTCAAGCCAATGCACCCATGCTGAAGTCTGCATACCGGTCCTTTGAGGAGGTTTACCGTGTGCAGCTCAACAATTACGCAGTGGCTGTCCACTCTGCTTACCTGTTGGCATTACAGGGGTAGCTAGTGGACCAGAGCGCTACAGGTGACGACTTGTTGGCACCCGTGCTTGCACGCCAGCTCACTGTCGTTCACTCTCATCTGGCTAGGGACAGCATTAGGTGCTGTGCCAGCCAGATGATGGGTGCTGTCATGGGCACAGGCTTTGGCTTTCAGTGGCACGTTACTCTCCAGCCACTACTTTCCTTGCCTTTCACAATGGGGTCTTCCCTATTTCCTGGGGCATTACAAGTAGTGCGGGTAGGCCACGGAGGCGGTGTCAACTTTCAAGGATTCTAAACCCTTGTTAGAACACCCCTCCACTTCTCGGTAACGGCCTTCCCCTCTTGCTGCCGCGTATCCTTCTGCCTCGGCCTGCAAAGTGGAGCAAGTGTAGCAAGAGAGCATGAGGCAAGGGCAGGCCTGCTCAGTCACAGCAGCCCCAGCTTCCCGTTGATTCTTCCCTCAGAGCCCTTACTGCCAAACATCCCAGTAGGTGGCCGACTGTCCCTATTCC